GGGCCGGGTGTCGGTCGAAGATACACCTGGCAGCTGACCGACATCCCCTGCGGACGCCCGCACGCCGCGTGACGCTGTATGTCACGCTGGGCGCCGCTTGGCCTTGAAGCCCAGAGCCCCCGTCGTCGTCGCTGTCGTGCCCGCGGCTGCCCCCGCCGCCCCGGCTGCCCCGGCCGCCAACACGCTTGAAGAATTCTTGCATGGGCAGGCAGTGNCCCAATGATGCGCCCTTTCTTGCCCTTCTTGCTGCGCCCAGCGGTGAGGGCCACGAAGCGGCGCCGGCTGGCGCCTGCGGCAGCAGGCGCCACCACACCGGCGGCAGGGGCGGGCAGCTGCTGCCTCAGAAGGCTACACGGCAGGCAGGGGCGCCAGGCTGCAGTGCCCCCTCCGATGCCGGTGCAGCCGCGGGCGGCGGCGCCGCTGGCAGGGTTTCGCCGGCTGCTGCGGCCTTGGGCGGCCCACCGTCACCAGGGACGGGTGGCGCGAGGGCGGCGCTGCCGCCGGCCACACCACCCTGCTGCCCCTGCACCTCCTCTATCTCCATAGCCTGAAATGGCCCCTCAATGGCCAGTGGCTGCTGCTGCTGCTGCTGCTGCTGCTGCTGCTGCTGCTGCTGCTGCTGCTGCTGCTGCCCCTGCCGGCGGGGCGGGCGCGGGTCCCTCTGCAGCTTGCGCGCCGCCTTGGGGCCCGGCGCCGTCGCCGCCCCCAGAGCCGCGCCGNCCCCCGGCCGCTGTGTCCGCGGGCCCCGCGCCGGCATCATCACCCCGGCCACTGGCCTCGCCGGGGTGCCTGCCCGCCTCGGGCAACACCATGCCCGCCGCAAGCGTCGTCTGGCCCGTGACGGCGACGGAGGGCGTCCCGGTGGCGCGCACCTTGCTGGGCCGCTCGCTGGGCGTGGCGGCGGCGGCTGCCGCCGTGCCGCGGGCGGCCTCCGAGAGCTGCAGGGCGGCCAGCCTCTGCCCCGCCTCGTCCAGGCCGCGCCTCAGGCCCCGCACGTGCGCCGCGCGGAAGGCGGCCGGGTCGCCTATGGGGG